CAATATCACAATATTTACGCTCTTCGCCAACTGCGCAACTTCACATGGATCTCGCTTCAAAGAAACCCCACCTGAATCCGGCCTGCAATACGGAGTCCCGAAATCTAATCCACACACTCAAAGCTAATCGGCAAATTGCAAAGCGGTTCCACGGAAGTCCGCAACTCCGGAACCTCAAGCACAACCATGTCCCGGAACGCAATACACAAAGTCCCTGACCCGTCCCAAACTCACACAGACATCTCAAACGAACGTGTCACAGTTACCCGCTATAATAGACACATTGGGCACAAATCCATGTGGCGCATCTGAGGCCTTCACAAGCCAGGGAAAATCGGAGCACGCAGAATGGACGGAAACATAGATTGCGCATCCGCCATTCCGTTCCCTAGGCGACCACGTGGCCTGCCTGACCACAGTGAAATGCGCAAAAGCCGTGAGCATGCTGTTACAGACAGTAACACTCACTAACCCTGAAACGGTCCAACACAGGACACAATCCAATAAAAGACCGAATTGCTGCCACGACAAACATGTGTATACAAAGCTCGGGAGAATCATACGCACGCACGCATATGTTGGATCATATTGCATTGGTCATCCAATACGACCTCGCAGGATCACGAGCACATCACATTTTGCAAGACAACTAGTCCTCAAACGTCACACGACATACGAGGGTGGAGTTCTTGCCACAGCGTGTATAGGTAGTACAGGTGAATCTAGGGAGCCCTCAGCAGTTATGCGGTGGAATGCTGAAGTGTCTCTCAAATAACCTGGTGTCTCTGAGCGCAACGACAGTTAACCAACGAAGATATTTGGAGTGAAGTCATAATTACTGCTGCGGCTAAGGAGAAACGGATATGTCAACCCGATTGCTAGTGTGCGATAAGTGGATCTAGCAGGCATCACAACAAGCGATCAGATACCCAGGCGGTGTAATGGTTTGACTGAAGATTTGGGCTTGTTTTGGCGGACTAATTGCAGTGTTGTACTACGTGTGAACACAGGACTCATATCCCGATAACGAATCACCGACATTAATTGTCGGAATATGCATAATTCATGAAAGTAACTGGTTATGGCAAAAACGAAGGTTATGGCTCGTTCACTTCATTTGTGCCAGTCACACGTTCGCAACCAAATAGAAACGCATGTACCGGCCATTTCGTTTTGCAAACACAGGAATCCTCGGGGGCCGTAAATCCTCCCAAGGGCGGGGTGTTTGCTTCAGTTTCTGTAGCTTTTGGGCATGACTTGGAAAATACGTGCCTTCCACAGTATAGTAGAAACCCGACGAGATAAATGAAAATTCCATACATTGACAATGAGTTGAAGATTCGATGAAAAATGGAATAGCAAACATACGGAGCGACAAGCTTGGGGACACAGTAAAACCTTTTTTTGGTGAGCGATGCCGCTCAACACGGACGTGTGTATATGGTGCAGGAACTCAGGAGTAAATTGTCTTCAGCCACACTACTTGGACTTCTGTCGAGTAGTTATGTCACGGTCGGGGAAAAAGGTACCCAAGAATCTGGTGGTTTTAATAGTCTTACTAAATGAGACAAACTGGGATGATTGTTTGTTCTCTTCCCAATGCTATTAATCTCAGATATCTCGATCGGACTTAGTACCACATGCATAGTAGCTGGTCCACTAGTTGAGTGATCCGTTTGCCGAGTATGGGAATTGGTTTGCAATTTTTTCACCCCCGATAAAGGTGCATGTTCGTGGTGTCGGGAGGCTGACATTAACGTTGAGGATCAGCATACATCCAGAGAACGATGCACCCGGAAAGCAGGTCACCGGATTTCTACGGCACAAGCGTTCCTTTCTTTTCTGGTGGGGGGGGAGGCTTAATGAACGCTGCTGATCCCCTAAATGAGATGGTGTGAGTTTAAACGATAGTTAGTCGGGAGCGGTCGTTGAAAAGGCGTGAAGAGGTAGAGAAACAAGTCGGTGGTTGAGGTTCATTGCGGGACTACTTAAACAAATTCTTCATGAGCAAGCTCGTGGTAATGGAATAAAAACTATTGAGGGTCCACCTTAATCGCCAGTCAGAATATGCCTTGCTTTTCAAAGCTTGTATGGAACGCTAAGTAACTCACTCTGGCTTGGGTAATGAAAAAACGGTAAGTTCTGGAAACCAATCGAAATTAAGGTTTTACCAGGTGGTATTCACTACTGCTTCAAGTCAGCCATTGTTAAGACAAGTTCTTCTTGCGTCTGGTTAGCCAGATGGAGTCAAAATATGACCAAATGTTATCGAATCTCTCCCTACTTGGGTAACGATGGCGAAACTCAGTACGCGACACCAGTGACTATTGAATCCAACATGCTCAGCGAGAAAGTAAAAACGATGGTTCACAGTACTCAACAAGCAACAAGTGATCAGACAAAGATAATATACAAGTGTACACATTGTTCTCGCGTCACTGTTCATTTTGCGAATGCCTCCGGAGGTAGCAGATTTGCTTCCATCACATTAAGGAAGGCTTCCAGTGCAGCGTGAAGGTTGAACCCACATTCGGACAGACACTGCCAGGCGTAAGTCTCGTTCATGCCCGTTGTCACAGAAAATTCTTGTAACGCAGCTTGAACTGCGGGATCAGTAGATTTAGGAGCAGGACTGTTGGAAAGTCTCTGGTTTAAGCGTTGAGTAACCGCAAGCCTAATGGCCGCTGCGTGTTGCTTCGAAAAGAAAGGATAAAATAGAAAACACCATGAGTATTATGTGGAAATCGCCCTCGGCCATTACAATGTTATGGAGAACAGGGAGAATAAATTCGCATACACGCAAATGAGTCGTTCTAAGAACCAAGGCCGCTAACGAACATCGAACGTATCGATGTGGAGGTGAATCCATCTTCATCTGAATGGAGCGATTTGGTTTCAGCAATGACCGGCTCTAGATAAAGTGTATTGAGTAGAAACAGAAACGAACGGTAGTCCAGATGAGGACCTCGGCGCGCAGAGAGCAATTCAGACGCGGTACAAGAGCATAACTGCGCTCATCGGCGATTGAAGTACCTGTTGGGGGCGAGCTGGCTGTGGTTAGAGCGCGAATTTAATGACCGGAAGGCTAGTGGTTCGAACCCGACCTCTGTTACTCGACGTCTCCTCTCTAGGATTGGGCGATCTGGCAGTATCCCAGCCCTCGTGCCTCCTGGTGGCATGGCAGTTGCGCATCGAAAGTGATAAAGCTGAAAGAAGTACCTGCTTGCACAACCAAATACCCTTGTTCAAATCACCTCGTTATTAATCCGTCAACGCCATCCAAAACCAGCAGCGCTTCTGAGGCATCGGTGGTCGAAAAAAACCTGAGGACGCCTTACATCATCTGTCCGCAGAGGCCGTTTCGCAGACATACAATAATACAGCCCTTACAGTATCCTGTGATATGCTTTTTTGACGCCACAAGTGACGCAAATTAGCAAACGTGATTCTGGTCTTTGAGATTCGCGCACTGATCTAATCACACTAACTTCCGTCATACGCTAATACAACTACCGAGGTATGTAGAATTCTTCGAAACCTCCAGTGATTTTAGCTTGAATGGTAAGGCAGGCGTTCGAGCTGCCGGTTCTGAAAGTTTCGCTTAATTTCTGTATCTATTATCTTTTCAATGCACATTTAGCGTAGACCTGAAAAGCGCAACGGAAAGGAGCACCGCAAAAGTGCGTTCCCGGAGTCCATGCTGGTATTCCAAAAGCAGAATTAAGCAGTGATCGAGTTTCACCGCCGATAACTGATGGCGAATTGGATTTAGGACTAGTCTGATGGCAGGAACCCAGTATAGCTCAATGGGTTATGGAGGAACACAAACCGTCAAACCACGGCAGCTCAATTGTTCGTACGAGATGATGAGGGTCACAAAAACGAAGAGTCGACAAAACGCCGTCACCGTTGGATGAACGCGTTAGGTGAAAACCACTCCAAAGGGAGACAAGGAAGTTTGCAGGTTAATTGGAGACTCAGTGTTGAGAACATTACTCAGCGAACCACCACTCCAATCAAAAACAAAAAATCACCAAAACCAGTTGCCTTAGAACCCTCTGATCAGAGCATGCACCGTCGGTATCACATTCAATTAAATGTATCCGGTTTCTATACCCAACCCACCAAAGCTGAGAGGGCTCAAACGACCGGCTTGTTTAGTGTCACAAGCAGAGCACGGCCTCGAGGCCAGTAGCTTCTGACTTGCGTGTACGTACCGGATAACCCATCATTAATACTCACCTGAACTAAAGACGCAGATGCCGGAGTGATGCAGCAATCCTCTTGAATAATTTTGCCCTCCGACTGAGGAAGAACAAGCAAGCATCGATGCACGCCGCGGACAAAAACCCTTCCATAGGGAAGCACTTCAAGGATCTGGTCGCGGCAGCCGGGCAGGTCTACATCTGTGGTGGCCATTGACGGGATGATCTCAGCTGCTAGGCAATAATATCGAAAGCAGATGGCTGTGGTCTATCTGGTAACTTGATACACAATGAAAGGAACAAACCTCAGCAGATATTACGTCCAAACAGCAGCACTCATCGGCCTTCACGTGGATAAGGTCTGGAAGACGGGAAAGCAACCCTTGGATATCCGCGTGACCCGAAGCCTCGCGACGTGCTAGTGGCGGCAGTGGGACACTTTCTAGCCACCTATCAGAAGCTGAGGATGCCGATCTGGAAACGTTCTTGAGACGTTGCGAATGAGCCGCTTGAAAGGCACGCAGGACTTTGAGCCGTTGCCGATCATGTTTCCCAAGTTTTAGTCTGCCTTGTTCAGATTTTGGACCAGTTGCAACAGCCGTGCACAGGCTGGCCCAAGCCCAGGCAGGGAGCGGGACAGCCCCTGGGATAAGGTTGACAGCAAATCGCTCATATTCAGCCCAACTAGGCTGAGCCTTCAGCTTCTCACGTTTTGTAGGTACATTTTGCATATCATCGTGTATACCAAGATAGGGAGTGATCTGCAATGTTAGATAAGCGTCTGGAACATAAAAGTCAATCAGGCGCTTGCGAAGATCACCGGCTTCGAATGCGTCCAAATAGCTGAGAAAGGTGAAAGTCAGATGATATGGTTGTTAACCGTCAGTTGAAGGTCACGCAAATGACTAGTGACACAAATTCGGATGCCAACTTATTTTCCCTCGTGTGAGTTAGAGAAAGACCCCCATAGCTTAGGTTGCAATATCTACACGGCAGAAATTCACCGTTAAACGTGACGCGTCTACGACCTCAGGACAGTCTAATTAAAACAGCTACGTGATGAAAGAGTACTGGTTGAGTTTACCAGGTTCTTAACGTGGAACTTATACATTGAAACACCTATCATAAGTGACAGATTCAACCAGTACCTGTGACTTTTCGAGCACTAACGGTGGCCCTGATCATGGAGCTAATCAAGGTTTTGTCACGTGCAAATTCTGCGCATAATTGAGTTTGAGGCTTAGTCAAAAGTCTTGAATTGCTGGAAGGCAGGTGGTTGTCAGCTCTCAGAATTTCGCAGCAAAACAATTCGCTCAAACGCTACCAAGTTGATTCTCGACACTACGAAACCAACGAAATACCACGAGGAATTGTGCGGACAGGCAAATCTAAGCTTTTGGGCTGACTGAATGAATGAATCGAAAAAAAGACATCAACTGACGAAACCGATCTAAAAGGATACTCCGGATACCAAACTCACCCCGAGAGCTTCGACTAACCTGTTGGGGGATTGCGTCCACTACTAAAAACGTCACATCCATTCCATGGACAAAATTATTTGACAAGTGACATAGATCAACCTCCGTCGAACAATCATGACGCAACTAAGGTAGTTGGGGGTCATCGGAAAGCCTGGTTAATACCGTCGGTCGAAGCACATAAAGAGGCGAAGCATGAAGATCGCGGTCCACTGGAGGCGAGTCAGGATGATGGCACCATCCGGGACGCCAAGTACATCCCACGACCGCTCATGCCTGTTGGCTTCAAAACTGTTGAGAAGCGCGTGGCAACACAGTGAAATATACTAATCTAGAAGTGACGATCACCAGTCCAGCGAAGGTTCGCACTGGACAGTGGGAGAACCCTGCAGATTATACCTTGCCTCAACATGATCGGATGTTTACTTTAGCGCTATGCAAAGGTATACGTACCTTGTGCTTGGCCGTCTTCCTTGAGGAGAGGGAACACTTACACTTAGCCCGCACCTCTTCTTTACACTCTACTAAGGCTATCTCTCTTCATGGTCGTGTGGGAGTTAAGCGCCAGTGTGCAGTGCTGTGAATGACGATTATGGCAACGATGGTACCACAGCTGGCTTGCTCATAGCTCATACATACAGGTCATTACCCTAACTGCGACTTGGTGATACGCCCAAAAGCACATAGCTCCGTCCCATGCTGAGGAATTCATGGCCCAGGTGCCTGAATCTACGCAACTAATTGCCACAGCTGCTCTGGAGTGCATATGCTATCACCGTAAAAATTTAACTTCCGTAGATTTTCTTTGTTTCGGTGAGCTAGCCTCAAACATCTGACTGTACAGCCCACCTAGTTATGCCCATCCCTCCTGGCTAGTCTCCCATCACAGACCCGACCTAAAGCTGTCACCTTGACGGGGTGGTCGGGCTTGACTGCTGCAGTGATCCCGCGGCCTACGCTGGCTGGAACTTCGTTCCACAAGGTTCAAACATGCTAAAAAGGACAACGGGGAGCAGCTAGACCAAGAGCAGCGAGAACCCGTACTACGAGGCAGTCTAGGGGTGAAGTCGTACTGTCCTCTGCGACAGGGGTGAGAAGGCACTGATGCTTCACTGCCGTACGTATTGTTAGTTGTGTAGGTCATGGTTGCACGAGGGCTGGGATACTGCCAGGGCACCCACACCTAGACAGGAGGACGATTAGGGGCCTCAACCAAAGCCTTTGGCTCAAAAGCTTAACCGCAAGGCAGCGGTGTTTGGCGGGGAAATGCAAATGCATTACCTTTGCTACGGAACAAGTCGCCATACATGTTCCAACCCCCAACCTGGAGGGCCAGGAGACTGTGTTCGTCAGACCTCTAACCATTGACCAACCTGGTATGAGAGACTCTGCGAGTGTCGCGCGGACACCCCCCCCCCAGTATAGCCCAATGGGTCTCCGAGGTACACAAACCGCGACACCACGGTAAGGTCCAGTCTCTTCGTGACGGTGGGTGGGAAGGCAGTAAGGTGTTTTCTCCAGGTGACAAACACGTACATGTTTATGGAAGCAGCGATGCTGCCTTCCCCCGAGGAAGGACGGGTTAGAAAAGTTCGACCCATAAAACCGCACACTCCGATCGCCCAACGGTTGACGGTGACCGCCGGCGCATTATCCAATACGGTCGAAATACTTTTAAAACCAAAGAGCCCGATGCTGCTCAGAAGGCATGTGCTGTGCGCAGCTGCATCAGGGATGAGACAGTAATGCCTTATTCCCTGCGCCCTCGGGTTAGGCCAACTCCCTGCAGCCGAACAGGCCTGATTGTTGAATCATCAGCTTCGGGCAGGGTCCCCAAAGAAAACCCGACTGTCCACTGCTTTGTGGGTCAGACTTTTAAATCAGAGGCTAGGGGCAAGGTCCCTGGACAAAACCTACGTCCTCCCATTGCCTTGTGAGTCAGCCTTTTGAGTAAAAGACTCAAGATGGGGTACCTCAAGCAAACCCATTTTCTCGGTCTGGGCAACCAGGAAGTATCATTTGCCCGCGCAGCTCGGTGTCCACCGATGACCCTCCCCATCACACAAGCAAACGTCGCTGGGCCATTTGACTGTCAGTTATCTGACCGAAGGGCCTTATGCTTCTCCCGCCGAAATGAAACCCTTCTAAATCCACGAGATGCTTTCTATATAGGAGGCTTCAACATCCGTGTCAAATTGGTAAACAGGCAATGGTTGCTGAGACCTTGTACCCTCTTAAATATATGTGTGCTGTCTCCGAAACAGGCATACAAGACCCGAACGTGGTTGTGCATCTCAGAACCTTAAGGATAAACGCAGCTCTTCCACCTTTCTTCCTCCGTGTGTCCGGTGACCCAGAAGCTATGAATCGTGGAATATGTGGCGCGGGAATTAAACTCAGCCCGAGCTGAACGCACTTTGCTGGATTGGATCCCAGTGACCAGTCGTCTTTGCACAGTCTGCTTATTTTGCACCGCACAACCTGGCGGTCACCAACTGCAGATCAACCGTGGCCACAGTTGGACCATGTGGCCATCAGCCACCGGTGGAGAGCCACAGTTCAAGACTGCCGCTCCTTGTGGATTACACAACTTAAGTTCGATCACGCCATGGTGCGTGAACACCTGACCGTTCGTTTCGCTTCATTCCTCGCAGGTCAGCATGAAGCACGCCAATGCAGTCTCCGAAGAGCTACAATAGCTCAACAGTATTGATCTGAGCTAGCCCAACAAATCTCCACAGCAAACCGATCCTGTGGTGGCAGTGGGCATGCGGATGAAGCGTGGCAAAATGTGAAAGGAGCTATGCTAGCGGCGTTCCGTGCTGTCTGTCCGACTTCTCCAATTCGACCACAAGACCATTGTATGTCGTCGAGGTCGCTATCCATGACTGACGCCAGGAAAGCCATACCAGCAGGCAACGAGTACTACGGCGCACGCAAATCTTTCAAACGCCAAATAGTGGAGTCTGAGGAAAGACCGAGAGCTCTGGTGGAAATCGAAAGTTCGGGAGATGGAGGTCTTTGCTACGGGAAACAGCCGTGCCCTTTATCAACTGATACGATCGACTGGCCCTAGGAAAGCAACGGTCAGCGAAACGATAAGTGAAAAAGATGGCTCATTAATTCACTCGCAAAAACGTCGACTGGAGAGATGGGCCGAACACTTCGAAGAGCAGTTCAGCTGGCCTCCTGCAACACAGCCTGTGGAGATAGTGCACACGGGCGAATGGAATGTAAACCTTGATCGCCCTTCGGAAGAAGAAATAAGGTTCGAAGTAGCAGCACTGAAACGTGAGAAGGCACCAGGACCGGACGGTCTGTATCCAGCCCTCTTCAAAGAAGGCGGAACTCCCCTGGTGACCCACCTGACAAAGCTTATTGGTACTATGTTGGACGAAGAGAAAGTGCCTGCAGAATGGGGCATGTCGACAGTTATCCCTATCTTCAAAAAGAGTACACGGACGCTATGCGAAAACCACCGTGGCATCAGCCCGTTAGCTGTGGCATCGAAGGTGCTCTCTGGCCTTATCCTTCGAAGGTTGACTGAACAGAGAGAGAAGATCCGTGAAAACCAAGCTGGGTTCCGTCCTGCAAGAGGTTGTATCGATCATATCTTCACCCTCCGACAGGTTCTGGAGCAGCGACACTGCTTCCAGCAGCCAACAATGGTTGGTTTTCTTTATCTGAAAGCTGCCTTTGACTCTGTGGATCGCCAAGCACTATGGCAGTGTATGTAGGGCAAAGGTGTCCCCAATAAATTCTTGACTCTTATTAAGGCGCTGTACGCCAACTCCCGCGGCCGTGTAAGGGTCTACGGCAAGCCCTCGCCTGAGTTCACCACATCAAGTGGTGTCCGACAGGGCTGTCCTCTTTCACCTTCGTCACTGATGCGATTATGGAAGACTCAATACCAGCATCTAATGCCTGTGGGGTCAAAGTGCTCCCGGAGGCGTCTGCTCACAGATAACGAGTACGCAGACGGCATAGCTACTCTTGGATCTGACCCCGTAGTAATAAGTATGCCAGTCGACCGACATCCTAGAAAAGCTCTTTTCGCACAACCACGTGAAGAGTGTAAGAGAGCCAGAGGCGGTCAAACAATGACTTGGCAGCAAAGTATCAAAGCCATCACCGGCAAACTCGGCTGCGCTGGTCACTGCCGTCTTCCTGGATGGGGACCCCGAGACCGGCCACATCAATGGCTACAGACACTGTCAACGGCGCCCGTGCATCCAAGCTATTGACCTCAATGCATAGCTCCTTTCCCTATCCCCCCACTTGACAGTGCTGGATTTATGCACCAATTTATCACCTCCCGCCTAATGCGCAGCTACCTCCCCCTCCACCACCAAATCATCGGTGAACGAAATTTCGGCGGCTACAAACACTGTACGACAAATACGCGGTTATTATAGCTGACAATGGTCATGATGACCCCAATCACAGAGCTGGTTTCTACACATTTTTCAAAAGAGCCCATCTATGAAAATCCCCTCCAATTTCTGTTCTCAAACCCTCAGGCCTTCAGCTCTACTCTGTCTACCGAGGCGCCTGTTCCCGCGTGATTCGTCTCAGTAAATTTGACTGTGCGCTCTCACCTCGAATCCGTCTGGAAGTCTGGCGTCTGACCCACTGACCTGTGAACCCTTGTTTAATGTGTGCATGTAAATTTCAGACGATATTTGCAGAGGACTTCCGGTTTCGTATACATCTGTGATGTACCAGTCAACAGGACCAGTCGCAGAAACAAGCTTTGTACGACTTTCAGGGGTTTCTTGAATTAGTAGGTTATCCTCCATTTACGGCTGCAGTTCAACTGCCTACTTTCTATTGTGATTCCCAGAAGACTGCGCAATATCTGTATCGTGATGATTGGTGCGACATGTATACCAGTAGCCTAGCGGCAAAACTGGTGCTCGACAGCCAAATAACCATCGAAAGCCCTGGCAGAGTCAAAGAGAAGCATAGTTTTCAAGGCCCTGTCACCCAAGAAATAGTGTTCAAGAGTAAGGTGCTGAAATAACCATAAAAATATATATAAAAGAGAAGCGTAGTTTTCAAGGCCCTGTCACCCAAGAAATAGTGTTCAAAAGTAAGGTGCTGAAATAACCATAAAAATATATATAAAATCGCCCAGCTGCAACACTCTTTCGGTGCCTGACTGCCATGCCACAGAAGGAAGCACGAGGGCTNCACAAGTACAGACGGCGGGGGGGGGGGGGGTCGAGAGGCAGATGTAGACTTCAAACCATGGACCTTCCGGTCAGTAATTTAGCGCCCTAACAACTGAGCCATCTCGCTTTCCAAGTTAGATATACCCAGTATTATTTGTGGACCTACCCACCAAAAACTCTGCAAAAACAATGGACAAGCGCTAGCTAGGGGAGTCCAGCTTGGAAGTGGAAGCGATCATTCACTGGTGTCGGTTACGTAAGGTTCATTACCGCATCCAAGAAGCACTCTCAAACTAGGGGTCGCGAAAACACTCCACGGGATTTTATTGTCCTCAAAAGCGGTTTTAGTCTATTACGATCTTTTGTATGTGCCTAGGCCGCACCAGATATAATTTTCCGTCCTTCTAGTGGCCTGCTTATTTCTGTCTTTTGTTGACGGTCCAGTTGAAGTCGGTGAATCTGAGTCCAGTTCATCGCTTGCTTTGCCGTAAAGTGCATATGGATGAAAGTGGATGGGCACAAAGCCACTAGACAAATACATCTGGATGCTCAAATCACGTCTGCAATTCATCGTGCAAGGCAGTCGCACCAGCGGTTTGCCTAACGGCATTCTAGCGCATCCGATACGCGGATATCCATAGAGGCGATGACATTGCGCCTCCTATCGCCACAACCCGTGAACGAAGCAGGAGTCAGCGTTCTCCACGTACCCTCCTGGTCACACAGTTCACATTTCAACCTATGGACGTGAGCTGGACTAGAACCTGGGAGGATGGGGTTAGAATAAGGGCATTTTCCTTAATTATGCATGGATCTATACGCACAGATGCTATTATCATAACCTCGTAAACAATCTCGTTAGTTAGTATCATACAAATTGGACTTGCACGACAGATACCTCATTTGCAACTGTACAGTTGTGCACGGTCGCTGGATGACGCCTTAGCTACCACTGGTTCGTCGACAACACTCACAGCCCGTGCGCACACCGGATTGGAGAGTAAAACCGTTACATCTCGGGCGTATACAGTGTAACCGCAAAACATAGAAACAACTGCAGTGCACATAAGCCAACATAAGTGACAATTTCATTCAGTGAGCTTCTCATAGATGACAAAAATGAAAAATCGAAAGGTTCAGATAATTGGGATAATCCCCTATGCAAGCTTACGCACCCGGTAACCAGCACACTTAGACTGGTGAGGAGGTTCGCATCTAATTGAACATTGTGAATTGTCGCAGGTAAGTCCACCAGTGTCGGCTGCTCTCTGCACACCAAAGCATCCTCGCAAGCAGCAGCAAATTGCAGACGTTCACGTTTCTTTTGAATCTTCCTGCGCTGTCGGCGGAGTCTTTTGGATAATTTGAAACTGACATCAATGTCTATGACGTCGTCAGGCTCCACGTGCTGATGTTCCGTTAACTTACTACCTTCATGAGAGTCAGTCAAGAAGCGAGCGACAAACCAGAACGACCACGCCGTTTCCCCATCGTACTCGCGCCGCACCGGGCAACGATTAAAACAAATAAAAAATAGGAAATAAGCAGTGTAAGCCGTCACTTTCCGAAAGCCTGGAATAAGCATAGGAGTTTACGATTGTCACTTCCTAACTTAACTTAACTTAACTTAGAAAAATAGGAAATAAGTAATGTAAGCCGTCACTTTCCGGAAGCCTGGAATAAGCATGGGAGTTTACGATTATCACTTCTTAACTTAACTTAACTTAACTTCTTAACTTCGCCGGGTATAATGCAAATTACCCAGCTCACAGGTTCACGAACTGATACGCTGGATCGAGGCTTTCGCCCAACTTAACCGAGTCGAATTCGTTCTTGCCGTTCAGCGGCCGCTGCCGCTGACATGAGAGGAACAAGCGAAAAAATGTGTTTTACTGCTCTTTAAGTTCTCAGAGAGGAGCAGTAGACTTACAAGCACGAGGTTTTGGAGGAATCCATGTTAAACTCGGGATAGCAAGGTGCTGGCAGTAAGGTGATTTAAAATGGCCTGCTTCAGAACGCCCCCAACACACAATGGGATTCTGTTGTGAAAGAGTTGACGAATGTTCTCTTGTGTGAAGAGCAAGTTGTTTGGAGGCTGTTTGTAGTAACGCCTTGCCAATATTGGGTGTGACTAGGTCACTGAGGCAAATTACAACCTGTAGACTTCAGATACCACTATTATGTCACTCGTGAATTCCCCGTTCTTGTCCCTCAAGGAAAACGCCGTTAGCTCATCTCTGGGGAGATGGCTTATATAGTCACAGAATTTTTGGGCGAGTTATATTATAGCACTTTCGAAACGCCAGGTCAGGTTCTGTCTCCTGTAGTTTGTGGTGTTTTGTACCCTTATTTTGCTTCCATTGTAACACTACGTATTCCATCGGTTGCATAATCGTTTTTTTATTTGAATACGAAAAACTACAAAAACGCGCACCTGTACAATTTGACAGAATACAAACGTGGTCACGTGCTTCGACTCCCTCTTCTGGCTTCGCTCGCGCTTTCAGTGGTCATCCGCGAGTCTCATGTGCTGACTCTGGTATCAGAGCAGTTCAGACCACCTTCGGAATCTATTATATGTGGGAACTGTTCGGAAAAAGACCCCTGGACCACCATAATTGGACTATTGTCTATTTGCTGACCTAGGCCCACGACGAACTATTTTTAGAGAGAACAGTTGTTAGTGGGTCTGTTACATCTGACCTCTTTACTGTTGTATACCCAACTTAGCATTATCATTTTTGTTTCTTTGCTTCACACTCCTGGTAAACTAACTTATTGATTAGCCAGACCACTACAAGCTACATTTTTGAAAAATATTTGATAACTCTTTTCCAGAGGTCTCCGAATCCTTTCCGGCAGCTTGCGGGCCATCCGATTGCGCGATGGTTAATCTTGGTATAATCACGTGCTCAGCCTCGACAACTTTCGGGACAACGGTCCTGCATGACTCACCCACTGAAGCTGGTCCCGGTTTAAACTGATCGGTGAGGGTGCGCATTTGTAAGAAGCCTGAACAACATAAGTTTTGAATCCCTGCTTGAGGTTCGGGATTTCTGGCGCAGCAGCACATGAAATCAATGAAATTTTAGACGCTGATCCTTAGATGCTCATCGAAAATTTCTTCGAAACTCAGGTTGAACGAGGAAATCTGTAATATTAAGTTTCAGTATTTGATGGCATTTAATCGAACCCTGAAGATCTCATGTGGCAGAATCTTTGTTGGAAGTTGTTTAGCTGTACTAAAGGCGCGGAATTCATATTTTAATAGCTACCAATGGCCCCGTGGAGACAGCGTGAAATTTTGTGGAGGAGCTGGTTTTTCCAACATGTTACGTTTAGCAGTGGAGTTGGAAATAATCCTAAAACAACATTGGAACTAATTACGCCCTTTATGCTCACGAAATTTCAAAGTACAGCGGCCATTCACAAAAGTTTTCAATCGCTGTGGCAGGAGTCTTGCTAAACGAAGTCAACATATTTGTCAGAGTTACCAGTTTATTTGTTTGTTTCAGGATGGTGAGAGCAGGCTATATCGGGTGCTTGGTAAGGTTTTATCTTCTCCGTTATGGTAATCTCATAACAGTGCCATTGGAAGAATAAGTGAGTTTGCGGGCAGAAAAGCAGACAACACAACAAGATAGCCCTTACTTCAAAGTTCTGGCACAAGTTCAATGGACTGGGACATTTCTGTGGGCGCACATGACTGGATGGGGAATATCAGTTATATGATGAACTACGGGCATGCCATCAGATTGGGCAAGGTAGCCACGGTACCGTCATTGCGACGTCGTACATGGGTTTGTGAACAGCGTCCTACATGATCATGGGTGAGTCAGTTGTGGCTATCCTCGTAGTTCGAAATGTCAAGAAATCTTGACAAATAAGGATGAGCGTGGATCAAGGATCTTCTTGAGCCCAATGCCGGCGCACGGTGGCTTACTGCTGTCGTTCAGATGAGGCAATAAGACTGCCGTGTCAAAATTGGAAACTGAAAATAGAGAAAAATTGTAAAAATGCCAGCTAGGGAACACTGTAGTAAGAGTTATAATGTGGCCCGTAATTGTGGGCAGCCAAAAGTGGTTACAATTCCCACCTATTTCAGTGAGGTAACACTCTTTAATTTAGAAAAACAGAATGCGATATTCGGATGTAGATGCTGACAGTGTCAAGTGGTTTGGGAATATGTGATTAATAGTGACTAGTGTTAGCTGAATTGTGTGCAACCAATTTAGCTTGGAGAGTGCAGCATCAAGAGATCAGAGAAGGACGTGAGATGTCTCTCGGTGTTGCATGTTTGTATTACGAAGTGATAGAAGAATGGCGCAGTTGCAGCAAAGATGTTGGGGGTTTCTGGGACAAGTCGCCTCTGATGCATCATACCATGTATATTTGGTGGATCCCCAGTATTTTTGTTCTGGACCAATGAATTGTTGGATCCTTAAGAAGACAGCCGATAATATATACTATAACGAGTGCAAGCTCAGGCAACCAGTGAAGGCGTCCTATTAGAGTTGCTTCAAATTTAGTTTTCGCTTCCTCTTTTGCAGAAGGCAGAGTATGAGGTTCAGCATACCATAGTAATGTTTTTGGAGAAAGAGCATTCAGTTGAAGTGTGAGTTGGCAGGTGTGCGGTATTTGTACCGTCGCGGAGGGTGGGTTCAAAGAAACGGCCATTGTGCGGACAGATTCAGTCGATGTTTGGAGCTCGCACATTCCGTCAAGTTCTGCTACAACGTCATACGTGCAAACAACTCATAATTTTCAGTATTCCAGTATTTTAAGGTACATTCGACTCGGTCGACTGGTCTGTTCTTCTTGACGCACTTGCTCATCAAGGAATGCCCAAAAGTTTGAGGAAAACAAGCTCTTCATATTCTCGGGCTATCGTGCATATGAGACCATATGGAGAGCCTCAAAGAAGCTTCCGTGCACGGGGCGGTGTCCATCAGATGTGCCTACTCTCCCCATTCTTTTTTAACCCCGTGATCAATGAGATAATGAGAAAGGCGATGGAAGATCCCAAAAACCTCGGCGTCCAAATAGCCTGCGATGAAAAACTTGTCGATCTGACATGTAGGTGAGATCGTTCTCGTCTTGAGGGAAGTTAAGGAGGAGGCGTTTTTGGATGAACTGATAAAATTAATCAAGTCCTTTATTATGCACTTTGCACCCACAAAAGGTTATGCTCCTAAACATGCAGTCACGAAACACGTCAGAGACATTCTAACTTATGGAACCTCTCACGTACCTAGGAAGTATCATTTCCGATGCTGTGCAAAAGACAAAGACAATGCACGAATCTTCAAGCTCGGGTCGCGTTTGCCAATTTAAAATAACTTTGCTGTCGAAGCGGCATATCCGTGAACCTCAAGGACGTGCGAGTCAGGGTGCTGTGAGGTCGTTCCGCCATACGTCTGGGGGACTTGGCCTTTTCGCGCAGCTGAACTGAGGCGTTTCCAGGTGTTCGACAACCGTTTTCCCAGAACCATATTCCGTGTGGATTGGTGCCGGCGAATCCGTGACGGTACATTTGGAAAGCAATTTTTCGGTTATGTATCGGAAACTTTCACTAAAGGATATTGTAACCTTACGGTCCGTAGTTAGATCAGTTAGGTTGCGACGGTTAGATTTCATCAGGTATGGCCGTCTTTGTAGCTCATCTATTCGGTATTTCAACATGAATGTGGAAGCAATGATCAGTTGTGATAATTCGATATGAACGGTGAGTGGAATGAGGCCTAAACTCACATGACAGATATACAACAGAACGTCAGGATGGCTCACAATAGTGAACTGCTTCCGACATGTTATGTGTGGCTGAGATGCGTAAGCCTCTTTTCACAAGTAACCGGATACTGAATATTTCAAAAGTGTCGGTTTGCAAACGCAAACAAGTTAGCTGATCGGTTTCTCAGGAAGGAGACCCTAGTTTGTGAGCCTGTTACTGTGATTGAGTGTAGGATGGCTACAAGTTATGATAGAGACAGCGGAGCTGTTGTTTTTACTAAACTTCATCTTATCGGTATTTGGAAGCAGAGGTTGAGTGAAGTTGGGATTCAGCGCTCTTACTTAGCAGATTTGACACCAAGTACCCGCCTACTCACTAGAGCTTTGTTAATACTATATCCGCAGGTGCACGTTTGAGGGTGCATGAAGCCCTTGAATCCCAGGGCTGAAGTCCCTACCACTTGATCTTATGACTGATCCGTATACATCTCACCTTATCTTTCACTTTGTTGAGTCCAGCAATGCGTAAGCTCACTGCATTCCGTCATCAAACCATTGGTTTACACACGGATCGTGAATCGTAGACCATAGGATATATTATAAACTTTCGGCCAGTTATCCACTATAACTTATTTAATTAGTGCTCACAATGACGCTGTGGAAGATTCACATGAGTCTTAATTGCCTATATATTTACCCCTTTCAGAAACTCTGTCGAGGAGGCAAACACCGTCACCTTCCTCCACTGGGACGAAACGTTTGCAAACCAATTTCCAGGCTCGGCGAACAGATCAACCACCGCCTCACCCTCTAACCCACAATCATGACAACCGATTGGCTTGTCGTAAAAACCGTTCAGAGGGGACTTAGCGAAAGTCATTGTCGTGCATGGTGAAGAAAAACCAGAGGAAATCATGAGGATAGGTGCCAAAAGGGTCACCAGGCTTTTTAAAAACATGTTTCTTTCACTGTACCATGAGAAATCGGTTCAAAGAGCGTTGGCCGTTCTAAGGATGATTCGGCGCACCTTCTCCCGTATTACTCGCATGAAATTCCAAATACTCTATGAGGTCTACGTCAGACTGCGTGTTGATTATGCCATCGAAGTTGTCTACTTGGGACGCTAGCCAGCGTAACTCTCATGAAGCTTTTCTAGCGGGATGCTTCGAAAGTGGTTGCCGGCCTCAAATTCGTGGACTATGAGACGTCCTCAGCGGTGCTTGACATATTTTCGTGAAGTATCTCTGCCTCCCAGGAGATCCACGCCCTGTCTAAACAGGATGTTTCGAAGTGTTTCAACGTTCTCCTAGCGAAACCTTTGCTTAGGCGTGGTAAAAAGTTTTTGAAGCTCAGAGTGCACGCATTTTTGCGGAAATTCTTATCTATGGCAGTTGGTGTGTGGAATAAACTTTCCCCCGGCGGCTGTTAACGCTACATCTAATACCCAGGTGAAAGCGATTTGAGACTTCTACTAGTTTATTCCTTGCGCTGATAAAACTATCACCCGCGCTAAAAATTTCATGAATGGTACCTTATTCTTTTTTACTTGTGCCATTTAGGTAAACAAGATGCTGAACCAGGACAATTCCAACTCAAGAAGCTTTCGAGGAGGCCGTGGTCCCGTATGTCAATCTGTGTCACGGTGAATGCCACGCAGGACATTTACGACTGCCGCCTAAAGTATCAACCGACTATGTTTCCTAAGTGATGGATATTTCGGTTCAACCACGGCGGAAGGTAGGTCTGCGGGCGGGATAACCTTCGCGAGTCCGAACTCGTACCACTTGTTTTGTCGGGATAGACCCTGCAACAACATGGTCCAGCCTCCGTTCAACCCTGACAGAAGTCGGGTCAGTGTTCTGCCGCGACGACGCGGACAACACTGAATAAAGTGTCTTTTCGTTATTTTAAGATACCCAAAAATCTTATGAACTTGTACCGGGGAAACCGCGGCAAACACTTTCGAATTCGCAACCCCTAGTTTTGACGAATTAAGCGACAATATTTTATCTAGCTAGGAGCTAAAGTCCATCAATCCTGTCTGTTATTGATAGCGGAAATCTATCTGGACTGTGGTACGTTCGTCATGTACCGGGCGTTTAATACTTTTCAGGTAAGTCTCGCATTTCCCGACAAGTAATGACCAACGGATACCTAAAAGATACGACGAAATAAGCAATGTCATCATCATCATCAATTGTCCAACACTGAAGACGTCTCAGGTCCGCTGCTCGAATAGGCCAAGTCTCACAGCCATGCAACAAACAGCCCATACTGTAGTTTGATAACACACGTCCCTTCAGATTCAGGGATAAACCATTCTGACGCCATAGGT